TCAGTTTCCCTCAAGGTACTTCTAGCCTAGCCCAATTAAGATTTCTCTCTACCCCTCCATATTGATGCCAGTCTTTTGCAACCCCAATTTTCTGCCTTCTATAACAACAAAGCATTCCTTTTCCAGATTTAAGTCAGTGAACTTAGGGCTACGCTCTTTCTGATGGACCTTTGAAAGTGCTACCAGTCATGCCTTTTCCCTCATCTCACAGAATTTGACCATTCTCTGACCCAGTAAGGTCTCATTAAATCCCCTGGACTCCTAATAAATTAAAGGGAATGTATAGTTGTTTTGTACATATTTTTCTTTATAAGGTTCCTGCACCATTCTACAAATGCAGGGACTGGGAAATCGCATGGTACTTTTGCACCATGAGCACTTTGGCCAAGGACACAGGGGCCCCATGATCCCTATTGCCCGGGGCCCCCATGAGTTGTCAGTCCGCCCCTGCACATGAGCATACAACAAATATGTTATATGCACATATAGTTCCAATATGGGGCAAACAGACTCAGATGGAAATGAAATGAGCTATAGGGCAAAATCCAGCGATGCATGTCCACAATAGAAAAATATACACAGTCTAGAAGTGTGGGTTAATAAGTGGCACTATGCATCTCATTTTCACTGAAAAGTGCCACTTTAGTGCCTTGTGCTCCCTCTCAACACTGTGCTTTACAACCTCCTCCACAGGGGCGGACTGACCCTTAGGGCATTGCCCGAGGGCCCAAGGTCAGTAGGGGGCCCGGTGAGAGGCTCACTGGGTACAATTAACTAGCATTTTTTTTAAAAAAAACATCTGAATTCACAAAAAAAAAAAACGCTACTAAAATACCGCATGAGTTATTTTATCAAGTTATGCGGTATTTTAGTAGTGAAAACCATGTGTTAATGTTTCAGCTGTCAGCGGGATTCCCCACTGATAGCTGAATGTAAAAGAAAGAATTGACAGCAATTAAAAATGTAAAAAACAGCGTGGGGTACCCCCTCCATCCATACCAAGCCCTTCAGGTCTGGTATGGATTTTGAGGGGAACCCCGCCACAATTAAAAAAAAAATGGAGTGGGATCCCCCCCAAAATCCATACCAGACCCTTATCCGAGCCTGCAGCCCGGCAGGTCAGGAAAGGGGGGGTGGACGAGCGAGCGTCCCCCCCCTCCTGAACCATACCAGGCCACATACCCTCAACATGGGGGGGAGCTTTGGGGGGGCTCCCCTCCCCAAAGCACTTTGTCCCCATGTTGATGGGGAAAAAGGGCCTTTTCCCCACATCCCTGGTTGTAGGGGTCTGTGGGCAGGGGGCTTATCATTCTGGAAGCCCCCTTTAGCAAGGGGGCCCCCAGATCCCGAGGTCCATGGTACCGCTATCCATTCACAAAAAAAAAAAAAGTGTAGCGTGAAAAAAGACAGGAAAGATTCTTTGACAAGTCCTTTATTTAAAGAAGGAAAAAAAGAATGTCCCTCGAAGTAGATCCAACGTAAATCACGATGCACGCCGCTACCGCTACCCGAAAAAAGAAAAAAAAAAGGCTCTGCTCCCGACGCTGGCTCCCGCCATCTGCCTGCTCCACTGGCTTGACAGTTCTTTAATATGTAAGGGGCGGGACCATACCAGATCCGAAGGGCTTGGTATGAATGGAGGGGGGGACCCCACGACGTTGTTTTATTATTTTTAATGCCCTTTCTATGCAGCTTAGTTGCAATATGTAGACGGGTGTTGTGTGGGTGTGGCTTTGGCTTTAGTGTAGGCGGAGACACAGGGGGCCCCATTATCTCTTATTGCTCGGGGGCCCCATGAGTTGTCAGTCCGCCCCTGCTCCTCCCTCTCTCTTACCACTACTGCTTCCAGAATACCTCCCTCCTCCTCCAACCACCACCTGTCAACACCAATCTGCACTCACTGCCACAGCACAGACATACATGTCTGTATTTGATTCCACTGCACATATATCTGTCCCCCATCCGCCCCCTTCCTGATCTCAACACCTCTTCTACATGCCTCCACTGCTCTCGCCACTGTACCTACACACTCCTTGGCATTTATTGTCACTCTACCAGTACATCCTTCCTTATTCACCCCCTTTTAATGGACTGGTACTCTTTTGCTAGTAACATTTAAACTTAGCTGGGACCATTGGTTTATCTGGTAATTGCAAGAAACCATTTTTTGTAGATGAGCTGAAAAGACAAAAGAGTAGTTGGATGTAAACACGATTATAGTTTTAGATCCAAGATACAAAAAGAGGAACTATACGCCTTAAATATTTGTTCACTGGTTAACAATTGATGAGAATGTGGCCGTCTTTTTTTTCCTAAAATGAACAAACCTAACAAATTTGCAAGCCACCGAACAAACATTTGACATGTAGCACAATACTCATAAGGGCTGCTTGTATTTTTGCCCAGGTCTGCCCCATTCTTTGCCCCGCAGCCAGGAACACGGTATTCTCCACAGCCAGCCAGACACACCCACTCACACACACACACACACCCAGTCTAGGGGATGTTTGTTTTTGCAGTTTGTAGAACTGGGTATAGGGATGGGATACTCCAAAATCAGAACTATTCACACAGAGGACATCTAGCTGATCTCTTAGTTGAGTGCTTTTAAAGTCTTGGCTGAATCAGATAGCAGACTTCCCTTTAATTTGTAGCAGTAAGTAGTTTAGGAGCCAGCAACGACAGACTGCAACAACCCAAAGGTAATGTAGCTGAGCCAGTGTTCCCTTTCTTAATGGCAACCAGAGTGCCATTGTCTAGCCTGTAGAGATCTGTGTGTCCCTCCATGGATATGCCTCCCCAGACCATCACTGACCCATCACCAAAGCGGTCATGCTGAAGGATGTTACAGGCAGCATAACGTTCTTCATGGCTTCTCCAGACCCTTTCACGTCTGTGACGTGCTCAGGGTGAACCTGTTCTCATCTGTGAAAAGCACAGGGCGCCAGTGGTGGACCTGCCATCTCTGGTGTTTTAATGTGAATGAAACCTTAGCTCTGTTACAACAGGCTTATGATGAACATTCCATGAAGAAATCAACTGTTTTTGAATAGTATAAGGTGGTTTAACCACTTTCCCTCCTGAGGATTTACCCCCCTTCCTGACCAGGCCATTTTTTGCATTATGGCGCTGCGTTACATTAACTGACAATTCCGTGGTCATGCAACTCTGCACTCAAATTAAATTTTTGTCCTTTTTTTTCCCACAAATTTAGCTTTCTTTTGGTGGCATTTGATCACCTGTGCAGTTTTTATTTTTTGCGCTATAAGAAAAAAAAAGACAATTTTGAAAAAAAAAAAACAAACAATATTTTTGACTTTTTGCTAGTAAGCATGTCCAGTTAAAAAAATTTAAAAAAATCAAATTTTGTCATAAATTTAGGCCAAAATGTATTCTGCTACATGTCTTTGCTAAAATAAAAACCCAATACGTGTAAATAATTGGTTTACGTGAAAGTTATAGTGTATACAAATGGCGGAATACATACTGGGATTTTTTTTTTTTAATTTTTACTAGTAATGGCTGTGATCCGTGACTCATAGCGGGACTGCAGCAGACATTCTGACACTGGGGTGGAACTGACTTGACATCCTCAGTGACACCAATACAGTGTATGAGCGCTAAAAAAAAAAAGCACTGACACTGTACTAATGGCACTGGACAAGAAGGGGTTAACATGGGGGGCGATCAAAGGGTTAACTGTGTGCTGTGTGTGGTTTACTATAGGGCAGTGTCTGTGTGCTTCACTGTAAACACACTGCATTGGATGTGTGTGCTATGCACAGCCATTCAAAGCAGTGTGCCCAAGCTCACAGGGAGGAGAACTGTTAGCAAACAAAACAGTTCTCCTCCCAATCAGAGATCCTCGGTAATCACGGGGCGGGCCCCAATGACTGACAGCCATGGGCTGCGAATGGCATGCCCTTTACCCGGAAATGCTAAATCACGTATATATACGTGATTTTGCACACCCGTGCACTGTAGCAGTATTTCTGCTACAGGGCAGTCAGGAAGCAGTTAAGGAGGGGCTAGAAGATGTGCACGATGACATAAGAAGTGGGCAGCCAAAAAACAAAGGAGGGATACAAATGTGGATAGAGTGTGAACCTTTGTATACTCAGATCGCAAGAGCGTGCAAATTATGGCAGAAGAATTGAACATGAACAGGGAACCTGTGCAGCAGAATCTAACAGAGGGTTTAGGAATGAGAAAGATTTCCACAAAGAGGGTGCATTGGATCTTGACAAATGATCAAAAAGAATGGTGACTTTAAATTTCATCCAATCTTTTGAAGAATGCAGAGGTGTTTATTAGGGTTATTACTGTAACGAAACATGGTGTTTTCAGTGTGATTCCAGAGCATGCAAAGGAAAACAAAGAAAGCACGCATGTCTCATTCTCAGTTCAAAACCATGCTGATGTATTTTTTTTTGTTACAAGGGGATAGTTCACTATGAGTTCATAGAATATGGTACAATAGTCAATCAACAGTGTTACTTGAAAATTCTGAAAACAATATGGGAATCTGTTTGTAGGAAAAGACCAGAACTCTGGCTTGACAAGTGGATTTCTCACTATGACAATGCTCCTGCACATTTGCAGGAGCACTTTGCAAGTTCCTGGCCCAGAAATCTATTCCAAAACTTGACCAACCACCTTATTTCCCTTATTAACACCCTGAAACTTTGGGCTGTTTTCCACAATTGAAAAATTTTAAAAGACATAGATTTGATAACATTCAGCGCACCATGTCTACTACACAGCATTCTGGAAAATTAATTCCAGGAATCTTTCTGGCAGTGGCATGGTCATCTAGAAAAGTGCATTGTTTCACAAGGGAACTACTTTGAAGGTGACAAAATCCACCAGTGTATAGTTAAGCAAACAACCAGTGTATAGTTAAGCAAACATTTATCCTTACAGTCCATTCCGGGAAATAGATTGACACACACACACACACCTGCAGTGTGCATATATAGCTAAAATGTATTATGTCTCACCTCGTCAAGGACCATTATTAGAGGGTATGTATCTTCTGACAAGTAGTTGAAAAGGCACCAAAGGCAAAAAGCATCCCTATTAGAAATCACTTTTTCAGCCGGATGATAGTTCTTTTTAGCTGTTAGAGTCCAGCATAACTCATGGAAGCTCTCCTTTACAAATGTGCCTTCTACCACCTAAGGGTAAACAAAGTAAGAAATGTGTCAAAAGACCACAAAGAAGAAATTGATTGTTAAAGGAGAATGATACTTACAGCAAACATCTATGTAAATGTATATCATATATCCACTTTTCATTATTACATACTTTGATAGTGCTTTACAATCCACACAGGAAAATGGTTGTCACAAATGCAAATACATTTTGTACTCCCATGTATAGAGAAGCATGTGACTCTTGCCACATGACAGCACTGGGCCAATCACTAAGTAACAGTATTGTCACATGAGGAGAGTCTATAGCCCTGTTTAACCTACGACTTGTAGATAACACAGAGTGGCTTCTTCTGCTCCTATTGGTTGAACAATGTGGCAAGGTGCAAAGAATTGTAAAGAATGTGCTGCTGGGGAAGGGAGAATAAAGCAAAGCTTTACCCAAAAGGGAAAGTTACACCTAAAGCCTCCTCCCCCACCTAGGCAACCCTAGGACCACATCAGAGATCCCAGAAGACTGCAGGGCTATTCACAATGTGCAGTGGGCACTCGACTGTGAAGCTGCAAGCTTTCGGAATACCGCCACTAAGGACTGAAGACCAGGGAAGCAAAGGGCTCGGATGAGCACAGCGCTGGAACCTGGGAAAAAGTGAGCATTTGTTTATTAAAATTCAGCAGCTACAGTTTTTGTAGCCGCTGACTTTTAATTTTCACAAATTAGACTGGAGCTTCTCTTTGATGTGACCCTCTTATTTTATTCTGTATGAGCAGAGCACAATTTCACTTTAACAAATTACTTGATGCTCTTTTTTAAACTATTCACAGATACTAAGGACTTCTTTGAGAAGACTTCCAGAAAATTACATATTTATTAAAAAATGAACTGGGGTCAAAATCTTTACCAAGTATTTATAAACCTGTTAGTTTAACTTCTATAGTTGGGAAGATATTGGAGAGTTTAATAAAAGATCACAAAGATGAGTTCTTGCTGGAAAAAAATATTTTAAGCAACACACAGCATGGATTCATGAAAGACATAAGTTGTCAAACAAATCTGATTTCTTTTTATGAGGGGGTGAGCAAAACCTTGGACAGAGGGGTGGCGGTGGACGTGGTATACTTGGATTTTGCAAAAGTATTTGACACAGTTCCCCATACACGGCTAATGTGTAAGGTAAAGTCTACGGCCTTGGAAAAATATGTATGTAAATGGTAGAAAACTGGCTAAAAGAACGTATTCAAAGAGTAGTGATTAATGATTCGTACTCTGAATGGTCTAGGGTCATCAGTGGTGTAGCCCAGGGTTCAGTGCTGGGACCCTTAGTTTTTAATATATTTATAAACGATATAGGGTCTGAGATTCAAAATCCCATTTCAGTCTTTGCAGATGACACCAAGCTGTGCAGTGGAATAACGTCCTTACAGGATGTCTTCAACTTGCAAGCTGACCTCAATGCACTGTCTAATTGGGCAACTACTGTATGTGGCAAATGAGATTAAATGTAAGGTTATGCATTTGGGGGCTAAGAATATGCATGCATCATACATACTAGGGGGAGTACAACTGGGCGAATCAATGGTGGAGAAGGATCTGGGAGTTCTGGTAGATCACAAGGTAAATAATGGCATGCAATGCCAAGCTGTGATTTCTAAAGCGAGCAAAATCCTCTCTTGCATTAAAAGAGGTATAGACTCCAGAGAGAGCGATATAATTTTACCCCTGTACAAATCATTAGTAAAAGCTCATCTGGAATATGCAGTTCAGTTTTGGGCACCAATTCACAAAAATAACATTGGGGGAACTGGAGAAAGTACAGAGAAGGGCAACCAAACTGATAAGAGGCATGGAGGAGATCAGCTATGAGGGAAGATTAGAGGAACTGAATTTATTCTCTCTTGAGAAGAGGAGATTAAGGGGGGATATGATCAACATGTATAATTACATCAGTGGTTCATATAGTGAACTCGGTATAGAGCTATTCACCCTGAGGTCATCACAGAGGACAAGGGGGCACTCTTTATGTCTGGAGGAAAAGAAATTTAATCTCCAAACGCGGAAAGGTTTCTTCACAGTGAGAGCTGTTAAAATGTGGAATAGACTCCCTCAAGAGTTGGTTCTAGTTAGCTCAGTGGATTGCTTCAAAAAGGGCTTGGATTCTTTCTTAGATGCACAGAATACAGCTGGATACTAATATTTATAGGTAAAGCTGATCCAGGGAGTATCTGATTGCCTCTTGGGGGATCAGGAAGGAATTTTTTTCCCAGCAGGAGCAAATTGTATCATGCATTGCTGGGTTTTTTTTTTTACCTTCCTCTGGATCAACTGTGGGTATAGGATTATAACTTTTTTTTTTTCTATGGTTGAACTGGATGGACTTTTGTCTTTTTTCAGCGAGACTAACTGTGTAACTATGAACTTACCTTGTCCAGTATGTATTGATTCAAATATGGCATATAACCCTGACTGGACACCGGGCCATCATCATCATCACGAAAATGATCTTCCAGTGCTACAGGATCATGAGGTATGCATAGTACAGTGTATAGATTGTGGGACAGTACCTGGGTAAAGGAAAAACACAGATCACTGTGTAATAAAAATAGTAGAAACATAGATAAAAGATACTAGATACATACACTGTTGGCTCTAAGTCATTTTTGCATCAAGTAAAGCCATAACTGGATCCCTCTCAAGGTCTTCATTGCTTCCAATGAGCAATGTCTCTCTCATCATGGACATGGACATGAAAAACAAAGTTCTGCTGTAATTTGAACTTCCTGGTGTGATGCAACGTAGTGCCCGACCCCTGCCCTTCTCACCAAGTCATAACAAAGGACCAGCCAATCTCACATTGCGCTGTCACTTGTGTAACAATGCCACTCTCAGCTGCACCCTACACAAAGATTTTCCAGCTTGCAGGACCACAATCTATGTACCAGCAGCCTGAGAGCGATTGTCAGTGGGTTAGGTTAATTACGCAATTAACCCTTCAAACTCCAAACTGCTTCACAATGTTAGCAAGAACAAAAGTGAACAATAAACATATGTAACACACACTGTCACCACAGACAAGTATATTCAAAGGATTATTATATACAGTAGCAGGAATGTTGAATTCCTATCGCCTGGAGCCCGGGTGAAATAGTTCCGGGCACCAGACAGGTAGTTTTGTTTTTATCTTCAGCCCTGCTGCAGATCCTGCGTGCTCCGTTTGAGCAGGCACAGCAGCCCATTCATTTGAAAGGACTGCTGTACTTGTGAGCAAAAGCTGAGAAAAAGTACCTGACCCTTTTTTAAAAAACATGGTCAATAAAATCATTGGAGCACCATATGGTTTCACACAGCTGAAAACATGATGCATGTCAGAAAAAGGGAAGCACATTTTGCCTGTGGGTCAGGGAACATATGTGATTTACATGCGTTTTCGGACCCGCTACTTTGTGAACCTAGGCCAAGTCCTTAAAGTGATAATAAAGGCTTTTTTTTTTAACAAACATGTTCTGTGAAAGGGTTTTGCACAGGGCAGTCCCGATTCTCTATTTCTCGAGTCCCCTATCAATGCTCCTCCCCCCTGCCAAGTGCCCCCAGAGCAAGCCACTTGCTCACTCCCAAGCCCTGCTCTGTGTGTCCACACAACACATAGAATGGGGCTCAGCCCTGCCCCTGCTCCTTACTGACTGTGATTGACAATGGCTCCCGTTGTTGTCTCTTAGCCAATGAGGAAGCAGAGAATTGGGACAGCAGCTGTTCTTGTGCACATCGCTGTATTGGGATTGAGTTTAGGTGAGTGTTGAAGGTTGTGGGAGAGCTGCATACTGAAGGTTTTTTGCCTTCATGCATAGAATGCATGAAGGTAAAAATCTTCAACTTTTACAACTACTTTAACAAAGTTGTGCTGCCTAAAAACTGCAAGGGAGAAAAGTTCTGTGCTATTTGCCTAGTTGTCTGTACTACAAGACTAGATGGACATAATTACAAATCATTTAACAGGTAAAGCATTTGACATTTTTAATTTTGAATTTAGTTGTTTGCCTGGCTTTCATCTACAAGGTTCAAACATGCATGTACAATACTATACAATAATATTGTAATATTTTATGTTGGACAAAATACTTCATTTTGAGAATTAACAATGATTACAAAAAACACATAAGGATTTTGCATGGTTTAATCCGATTTGTACTTGGTGAGTATGGTCTGCCAGCAACTAATCTGCACAGCCATCTTTATACCAGTGGTTAAGGACATTTTGTGCAGTTTACAATGCTGACTGAAATGCAGGAATTAAAGAGAAGCACAGATAAGTCTTGTATTCATGCCTTGTATAGTTATGACTTTTCCCCACCCTCACCACTTCCGTTCCTCTTTTACTTCCTGCACTGCTGAGGTTTTCCTGCTACATAAAAGCTGCTTGCACTAGCCTAGATCACTTACAAGTGATATACATATTCAAGGAGATACAAAGAAATGCAGAGAACATGGAAATATCAGATACGCATTACAGTTAATCTACCATATTTGCAGTAATACAAAGACTGCTCATTGCTGTACAAGTTTACGCATAACATATACATTATATTGCCAAAAGTATTGGGACACCCCTCCAAATCATTGGATTCAAGTGCTCCAATCACTTCCATTGCCACAAGTGCATAAAATCAAGCAGCTAGGCATGCAGACTGCTTCTACAAACATTTGTAAAAGAATGGGTTGCTCTCAGGAGCTCAGTGAATTCAAATGTGGTACCGTAGTAGGTTGCCACCTGTGCAATAAGTCCATCTATGACATTTCCTTGCTACTATATATTCCATGGTCAACTGTTAGTGGTATTATAACAAAGTGGAAGAAACTGGGAACAACAGCAACTCAGCTACGAAGTGGTAGGCCATGTAAAATGACAGAGCTTGCTGAAAGCACACAGTGTCACAGAAGTCGCCAACTGTCTGCAGAGTCAATAGCTAAAGACTTCCAAACTTCGTGTGGCCTTCAGATTAGCACAACAGTGTATAGAGAGCTTCGTGGAATGGGTTTCCATGGCCAAACAGCTGCATGCAAGCTTTACATAACCAAGTGCAATGCAAAGCATCAGATGCAGTGGTGTAAAGCACGCCGCCACTGGACTCTAGAGCAGTGGAGATGTGTTTTCTGGAGTGACAAATCACTCAAACGGCACTTGCCTGACGGCATTGTGTGTAAAGTTTGGTGGAGGGAGTTGGTGTGGGGTTGTTTTTCAGGGTTTGGGCTTGGCCCATTAATTTCAGTGAATGGAATTTTTAAGGTGTCAGCATACCAAGACATTTTGGACAATTTCATGCTCCCAACTTGGTGGAAACAGTTTGGGGATGGCCCCTTCCTGTTCCAACATGACTGTGTACCAGTGCACAAAGCAAGGTCCATAAAGACATGGATGAGCGAGTTTGGGGTGGAGGAACTTGACTGGACTGCACCTCAACACCTTTGGGATTAACTAGAGCGGAGACTGCGAGCCAGGCCTTCTCATCTGACATAATTTCTTGACCTCCCAAATGCGCTTCTCAAAGAATGCTCAAACATTCCCATAGACACACTCCTAAACCTTATGGACAGCCTTCCCAGAAGAGTTGAACCCTATGGAACAAGACTGCGATGCCATTAAAGTTCATGTGCGCTGTAAAGGCAGGTGTCCCAATACTTATGGTAATATAGTGTATGTTATGTGTTCCCCATGTTCTCAGTTTTATTTATCTGCCTTTTCCTTTACCTGTGCCCTGGCCCACCCATTTTTCAGATCTTATTGATTGTCATAGATTATCTTTTCACATAAAGAGCTACTACATGTACAGACAAAATGGCTGCAGGAATCAACTTCATGTGAATGTACCATTAATGTCAATGTAGGTCACATAAACACCATAAATAAAGCAGTGCAAATGAGGAAGTTGCCCACATAAAATAATAAATAATAAAAAATGAAATCCTAAGCACATGAAATTTAAACTAATGTAAGAGTAATATGAACAATGATTGCTGCGTATGGCCCCCATACCGGAAATGACGTCACAGCAGAACCGGAAGTTCCTCCCCACGTACCGACGCGTTGCGTCACGCTTACCATGTGACTTGCTCAGGGTATCTACCATATTGGAACACCTTTCCAGATACCCATGCAGTACATCCTTAGCATGTGGTAGAAAAGCGAGGATGTAAAGTATACAATGTGAGTGGGCATTTTATATTTATTTATGCTGGATTAAACAGTTTGCACTATGGAGGATCTTTTTTGTTTCATTATGATCCTGGGAGATGCTTGCTGGTAGCTGTGTGGAGACTTGGGATTGAAGGACGTATACCATCACTGAGGGGAAGCCTGTGAGGAGTCTGTCCTTATTAGGATCGGTGTGATCCCTAAAGCGAGCTGGCCCTTAGGGGTCTATGTAAGGAGGTGAGGGGGCATTTTGGCCACTGAACGATAGTCACCTATCGATCACCTACACATCACTACTTGCATGAGAGCGGAGTTGGATCAGTACCATATGTGTTGTTGTTTTGGGACTTTTGTTCATGATTATTTATTTGTTTGCTGTTGGCTCTGGATATTTATTAGTGTTATTCACATATTTGTTGTGTGTTGTATGACACTTAACACCGTTTGTACTGTTTATGTTCCCAAGAAGAGGGAATTCATGTGTTGCACATATTATTTATTTGGATCCCTCAAGTGTGCTTTTAGGGGGGATTGATTGTTGTGCACGTATATTTATGGTTATCACATAATTTATTTATTGTCCACATTATTAATTAGTTTTGTTTTAGCGCTACACTGTGTTTATTTATAATCCTAAATGTGGACCTAAATCTTAAATGTGAGTATGGAGGTATATTGAGCTATGGCTATCTTCTTTCTTGACATTTATATCAAAAAACAGCCTGTTAAATACCTAATATTCACACAACAAAAAATGAAAGACCACGACAAGAACTAAGTTGCTGTAAAGTTAGAATTGTTTTCTTTTATCATTTTATTGTTCTTTCATTTTCCTTTTTGAAATGCACAATTCTAAAATTATTAAACACAAGCAGTGGCGTCCCGAGGCAGGTGCGGGGGGGGTACGGTCCGCATGGGGTGACACCGGACCCGTTTTAACCGGGACATGCGCAGTTGCTTCAGGGGGACATGTCTACATGGGAGACACATCTTGCTGCTACACCAGACCCGCTCCAAGAAAAGGTAATTTGTAAAGAAAGTCAACGATCCCCGCAGGATGGTTCAGATCTGCGGATTGAGCATAATGGATCGGAGTCTGATCCATTATGCTCAATTAGAAGATCTGATCCATTCTGCGGGGATGGTCGGATGGGGTGTCACCAAGTGTTACCGCGCCGGGTGACACCAACCCTAGGGACGCCTCTGAACACAAGATATATGGGTATGCTCTAGTCACACAAGGATTGTTTTTCTGGTCAGATGCATATCTATGTTGGAATTTCAAAAAAGAGCCTATTTTTGTCTGCTATCTGACCATTTGCTATCAATGTCTGTTCTGGTGAAACTCTTGAAAAAAAAAAAAAAAAAAAAAGAGGCTATTGAGATATGTAAGCACAACTAAGCACTCTGTTATCTTTTCATTGAAAA